GTTGTAGAAGGAAATGAGATTGGTCAAGCAAGACCTACCCACAACAAACCCATGCTGGCTGTCCCTTAGGATGTTGGCGTCGGCCAGTCCATTAAGGATGGCCTCTTTAATAAACTTTTCTAAGATCTTCCCTGGGATAGAAGTCAGGCTGATGGGCCTATAGTTAGCCGGATCCACTTTCCTCCCTTTCTTGAAGATAGGCAGCACATTGGCCTTCTTCCAGCCTTCGAGCACTACACCAGAGCGCCAGGAGTTGTTGGGCAACTGTGGATGGGTAGCATGCCCTAGAGAGCATGGTGGTGAGAGCCCCTCATGGAGTGGCTTGTGTAGTGTGCACTAGATGTTTCTGGAAGCCTGGACAGTACTGAGCATTGGCTTTCTGACCAGCTCCACCCCTAAGTGCTCCTAACATGATCCAGTTCTGTCTTCCATGCATCTCCACCCTCACTGTGGGCAGGGGATTGGAGCACAGCTCCTGACAGAGCCCATGACACTTGTTTTCTGTGTTTGGCAGAGGATGAGTTTTTCAGCGGGGACAACACCGTAGATTTGCTGATTGAAGATCAGCTCTTGAGGCACAATGACAACAATTTTCACAGCTTCAAGAGAAAGTCTGCTCCACTGGGAGGGCCACCAGAACTCACAGACATCGACCCCATGGTGGGGTACAGCACGCAACCCACCCCTGCCACTGTAGCCCCGGCCACAGCTGCTTTGCCATTGTCCTCTGAGGTCACATCCCCCTCCACTCAACCAACACCGCCACTCACCACTGAAATCCAGATCCCTACCGTGCCAGAGAACACCACTGTCGAAGCAGCCATTGCCACAAGCAGGCCAGTAGATGAGCCGGCCAGTTGGCCAGCAACCACCAGGGCCCAAATCAGCACACCAGTACCCACCACCTCAGAGAACATTCACACAACCAACACTGATCAACCCACAGCTGCTATCACCACCACCATGGTCCAAACCTCCATCACAGCTGAGACTAGCACAGCTGCCACAATGAGTAAGGAGTCCAGTACTACTGTACAAGTGACTGCCCCTCCAACACCAACCAGCTCTGGGCTTCCTGCAACCCCGAAACAGACCTTGGAGGAAGAAGATGTGAGGAACATCATTGGTGAGTCCTTTCTTGCTGTGTCTCTGGGTGCTTTTGTGGTTGACTAGTTGGTGGAAGACCTGCCAGATGGGCCTGGCTGTGGATGGGATGGGATATGTGGAAATCAGGTGGGGGCAATTTACAGCTCCGGTGTTTTAAATGATTGCTCTTTTATTATTGACCGAAAACAAGGACAAGAGGTATTTCAGGGTAGCAGGGGCATGGCAGCAGCTGGGGAAAAGTTTCAAAGTTAGATTTTCTTTGAAAGCAAATAGTTGTTTTTAGAGAAGAGATAAGACTACATGGAAAGAACCTTTGCAGCTATCAGTTTAATTATCTGAGGGTGTTGTCTCCATTTAAAATGGTTAGGAATTATGTCCCCCTACCCCCCTTTAAAATGGTTAGGAATTATGTCTGCCCATAGCTGATGTCAATCATTAGACATTTACTGGCTTAGCCAGGAGTTTTATGGACCAACCTGTTAAATTTTTCAAATGTCTATGGCCCTGGGACCCCTGTGGGGTAGAGCTGTGGAGTTCATGGTGTCCCATGAAATGTTCCAGCCACAGGTCTCAGTAGCCAGTGCGAAGTTGTGGAGGGGACTGTGCAGAGCTCAAGACAGTAGCACTCAGAGTAGGGGCTGGGCCTTTCTGAAGCAAGGACTAGGCTCTTAGTTGTGGGCACTATCGACCAGAGCCTGAGACCCCAGTTCCTAGAGGGTCAGGGCCACTCCCTGGGGTGAGGCCTCCAAGGACAAGTGCCCAGGCCTAGCAAGCAGCGTTGGGTGCCAGGACTGGGCTACCAAGGGGCTAGGTGCTTGAGCAGAGAAGCACAGACAGAGCTGGCAGGAAGCCCAGGGTTGGGTTTGCAAGGGTCTGTGGGTTGGGACCAAGCAGAGTTGATAAAGAGAGATTATGTATGGTACTTGCACAAACAATAGGCCAGTCTTCCTGTTCTGCTTCAGCTGTGCAAACTGTGACATTAGAGAGCCTGCTGCTTGTGCTGGCAGGAGCACATGAGTGGACATGCTTGACTTCTGCTTGTGCTACAGGGACGTGAATACTGTTGGGATGTAGCTTGATAACAGGAGGGCTGAGCATTAGGGAGCACAGGCCTTTTGCATTAATTTTCCAGAGCCTTGAGCTGCACAAAATAGGATCTTACTTACGTGCCTGAGTTCTACCCAGCAGGCATCTGTTGGGTGGAACAGTGTCTGGCCTTAAAGTTTCAGTCCTTTTCTCTTCCCTAGGACGATGCAAAGACACTCTCTCCACCATCTCAGGGCCCTTTACCCAGAACACCTATGGGCGGAACGAAGGGGCTTGGATGAAGGACCCTTTAGCTAAAGAGGAGCGAATCTATGTTACAAACTACTACTATGGGAACACGCTGGTGGAGTTCCGAAACCTGGAGAATTTCAAGCAAGGTAGGACCTGTGCAGGGTGGGGCTGGTTTCCACATCCTCCTACATCCCCTGTCCCTGTGCTGAGACTGCTTCACAGTGCCAGTCCTCTGCACAGGCTGATTTATCCTTGCCCCCATTGCATGCAAGAGGCCTGGACTGCTCCATCAAGGCCCTGGTGTCTGTCCCAGCTGAGTGGTGTGAGGGGCCATCTCTTTGTTCCTTGTGCATACTCGGCCTCGCACACTGGGGTCCTGGTCCACAATGAGGGCTGTGATGTGGTGCAAACAACAGTGATCATCAGACTCAGGTTCCTTCATCTTAGCTAGGTGGATCTGCCTAATGTGGTACCATTAGGGCATCAATCCTCCTGTCTCGGAAAAGCCAAATGTTGCGGGTCTATCTCTGTGTTGTCCCAGTGTTGCTTTTATATCCTGGCAGAATGGTTAAAGGGTTTCTCCATGGGTCTGGAGGTGTGTATTCAAGCCCTGCTCCGGGCTTGTGTGAAGTCCAGCTCCAGTTAATCCAGAAGGAGTCAAGGATGGCTAGCGCTGGTGTTGGTCACATCACTCTGAGTGCCATTGGCTACAGATACTAATGTGGCGTTGGGGTTGCCAGGCCCAGGTGGACCTTGACCTTTAATGAACTGCCTCCTAGAGTGAAACATCTTGTGGATAAATGTATTATGGATCAGGAGGTGTTCAGATGGGGAATAGAGAAGCAGTTATGATACTAGTTTAGTATGGCTTAGTAGAATGTGGTGCAGAGAGTCAAGGCAATAATGGAGCCACTGCTCCAGTGCAGCTCCCATGATATTAGGGAAGGGGAGTATCGATCCACCAGTCCAGGTGAGAGAAACTGGCCCTCCTCTCCTGGGAGGTTCAGCAGAGTGCCCCAGGTTCACTGTATTCCAGGGGCAGTGAATGTTGATTAGTGCCAGCAACTGGACTGTAATTCATGTAGGCAACTTCTGAAGGATGGCAAGGGGCAGCTGAGAGTGGAGAGAAGGGGGGTGGCTCCAGTGAGTGGGGAATTGAGGGGATGGCTCAGGGCTTAATCAGTGTATGTGTGTCCTTTTTAGGCCGCTGGAGCAACTCCTACAAACTCCCATACAGTTGGATTGGAACGGGCCATGCCGTCTACAATGGCTCTTTCTATTACAACCGGGCCTTCACGCGCAACATCATTAAGTATGACCTGAAGCAGAGGTATGTGGCTGCCTGGGCTATGCTGCATGACGTGGCCTATGAGGAGTCCACGCCGTGGCGGTGGCGGGGCCACTCTGATGTGGACTTTGCTGTGGATGAGAATGGCCTGTGGGTCGTTTACCCAGCCATTAGCTATGATGGCTTCAACCAGGAGGTGATTGTTCTGAGCAAACTGAATGCGATGGACCTGAGCACCCAGAAGGAGACCACATGGAGGACAGGCCTGAGGAAGAACTTCTATGGGAACTGCTTCGTCATCTGTGGTGTCCTTTATGCTGTGGACAGCTACAACAAGAAGAACGCCAACATCTCTTATGCCTTTGACACACACACCAACACGCAGATCATCCCCCGGCTACTCTTTGAGAACGAGTACTCCTACACCACCCAGATAGACTATAATCCCAAGGATCGCCTCCTTTATGCCTGGGACAATGGTCACCAAGTCACTTACCATGTGATTTTTGCATACTGAGACAGCAGTGATGGAGACTCTTAAAGGGCCACTAGCACCTTTTATTATTATTATAATTATTATTTTGTACAAATCAAAGAGTAAATGATGTTCTTTTTTTTTTTTTAAAGGTGGATTGTAGATCAGTCCACAGGCCAGAATCAACCCCTTTATTTTTTGGTGTAACCTTGCTTCTGTTTTATGCTGAGAATGCTGCCTCTTGTCCCACACAGAAGGATATTCCTTTGTTGTCAGTCTGAATAGGGGTGGCTCCTCCTGGAAAAAGAGAATCCTATTTCCTTTATAATTGTTCATGTAAAGGTTGTGATGGAAAAGGGTGAAACATGAATACAGCTACAGTTACTTTTTAAATAAAAAATACGTAGTAAAAATGAATAAAAAATAGACTTTTGGCTTAGCACCAATGTACCCGAGGCAAGGTGCTTGCAAGTCCTTTCCTCTTGGAGATTGCTAATACGTTGTCTTATGTTGGTTCTTGTCTTCGCTGAGTTAGCTTTGTGACCGTTTCGTCACATTGATGTGTTTCTCATTCATTTTCAGCACTGCCTGGTCCTCCTTGTGAGTGGAGGTCTGGGAGCCAGCATTGCTATAAATCACTTCTCGAATTCTACGCAATTACCATAGGTCTGCTGCTTCCTCTTTGCAAGCTCTGCTCACTTCCTCCCTGTGCCCAGACCATGCACACATGTGCAAGAGCAGAGCTCCCATTAGTGTAGATTCTTACACACAACCGGATGGTGCAATGGAGCACTGCCGGGGTGACCAGAATGTGTCAAGAGGAGAGCCAGCCTGGTGGGTCTTTCCAGCAGCAGAAGGGAGCTGCACTGTAAATTTGTAGATACTTTTTTAACCCCAGACAGACACCCAGTGTTTGCTTTGTCTTGGATCTGGGCAGAAGCTCAGCTTTGACTCCCGGTCAAATGCAGGACAGTAAAACCCAAGAGCCAAGCAGTGTTGACACCATTTGCAGTCACAGGGACTTCCATCCCTGCTTTGAGGGTGTTGTGTCCTAACAGCTCCCCTCCCCTTTTGGCTGCACTGGGGCACACTGGAAGCCCAGGAGGCTGCTTTGTGATGAACTTCACTAGATGATTTACCTACTGTAGTGTCCCCAGTTCATGTCCAAGGCTTGCTTCTGGCCTGCGATGGCCTTTTTCTGTAACCCATGCCCCATTCTGCGGACTTGTTATTGCAAGTCAGCCATTTTGGAGCCCCTGTACTCTTTATTGCATACTTTCAGTAATAAACATTCAAGCACCTTTGCATTTGTTGGGGGCAGTTTTGGGGACAGGTGTTTTTATTCATCACACGGCAACACAAATAAGCTGAAAACAACAGCAAGGAGTGCTCATTTGTGCAAGGTGGGTCTGAGATGGACCCAGGAACAGGAAACTGAGATTCCACTCATCTCTGGATGCTAGGACCACTTGGAAGTCAGTTCATCTGACAATCACCTTGGGGACATAGGGACTAATGGCACATTTTAAATTGGATATGGGGAAATAGGTCAATGTGTTACCTGATTTTATTACTGAGCAAATGAATGTTAGAATAGCGTATGTGGAGAATAAGGTGGTAATACTCCGGGTGTATAATGGGATGTTAATTCCAGTTAATGTGTGTATGATCTAAATGTTAGGCACAAAGACAATATGGTAAAGGTTCAGTTTATAATGGTTCCAGCAAAGTTAGTTCCCATTATTGAGTTAAGAACATGTAATGCTTTGAATTTAATAAACAGAATAGACTTTCTTGATTAGCCGATGAATAGCAATATAAAACAGTTTCATGATGCTTTTTAATGGTAGAAGGAAGCTGTCCACTGAGCACAAAATAGAACCAAACACTCCCACTATTCATGCTCCTAGGAATGTTCCTTTTGCTTTAAGAAATAAAAGTAACTAGACAGATTAGTTGTTTTGGATATAATAGAAAAAATAGAAGAACCAACAGCTTGGATTCATCCTATGCCAAGCAACAGTAGGGACCAACAGCTTGGGTTTATAGCAGAAAGTAAGATAGCTCTTCAAGATTGTGTCTAGATCCTAAACAAACAGATCCATCAAAAAGGAATACTTCTTAATTCCTGCCAGATGAGGCTTTTGGAAACATAGCAGAAGCATTTCCAAATGATTGATAAGATAGCTGAAAAAGGGACTAGTTGATACTCCTTCTGGAAGACAGAGGCATTTCAGAAAATATTTAACCATAGCAGATAGTTTCTGGATAATCTATGACAACAGAAAAGGTGACCAGGTTTCAGAATCAGATATACTGCATGTTACTCGTAACAAAAGAACACATCCAGTGTCAGATAAAATGTAGGCAGTCACTGCAGAAGCTATGGCTTAGAATGACAAAACATGCTAGGCAAGGATTTTTGTGGGTGACATCTTTTATTTGTCAGGATAGACTCAGACAAGCTTCCCAATACATTGTATTCAAAAGCTTGACTTAAGTTGTTCCCAACCATGTAGCTGGTTCATAAAAAAGGTATCACCCCCCTACCCCCAATATTTTGGCCTTTCCCATATTTCCTGGACCATCAAGGCTACAACATCAATCCAACACTACCAATAAAGAAAAAGATGCTTGTGCTCGGTACTGGGTGGCCTCCAGAACACAAACCGAGCCCCTCTTATCAATTCAAAGGAGAGCTTCTGGTACTGAATATCAGGGCTCAAGACCTATTGTTGCAAAGGTGTTACAGAAAGCAAGGGATGTCTGGATGTTAAGAAATACAGAAGAACCTGGGATGCTCTGTACTGGTCCAGTATGAATGTAGATTTTGAAGAAGCTGTGAAAGCTTACACAATATGTCAGCTACAGCTGAACACAAAGGAAAGAGCCCGTGGTAGTCACAGAGGCCCCGTGGTATCAAATGACCAGTGACATATTCATGCATGAAGTAATCTACAAGCAGTACACCACTGTTCCTGCTACTGAGAAATTGCATTGCTAGCAAACACAACACCAACTCATATCATTACACAGATAAAATTGCGCTTTTGCAAACATAGGAGTGCCAGAATAAAAAATGATTATGGTACCCAACCTGTGAAGGGCCCTGGTGCTGTGCTGAGGCTGGGAGCACCCATCAGCTGCCTGGCACTCCAGTGCACTTCCTGAGGCTGGGCACACTGGACACTTGGCTTATTCATTGGCAACTGGCAACTCTTTCCCAACCCCCACTCCCCTCCCCCCCAAAAAACAAAACAAAACAAAACAACAAACCCATAACAAACCATTAACCATCTCTGTGGTGCTGTGCAGCAGGGCCAGCACAAGGACTTACTTGCCACCTTAGGCAGCCTTCAGACATTTCCTTTGGTAGATTTTTTGCTGCCAATATGCCAGTGGGGGCCATGCCAAAAACCATCCCAGAAGAGGCACACCCTTTGTTCTGGCTCCCAGCACTTCAACCAGCCCCAAGTTGCAACACAAGCAGCTGCTTTCAGGGGCCATGTCCCAGGTTATTTGGCCACATAGCCCCTTCAGTTGGCTTCCCCACGCAGTGCCCAGCAGGCAGTACACACTGGCAGGGGGTGGGGTGCTTTAGTGAAGTCCCACTGGCTCTCAGGCAGGAATCTTGCCTTCGCTCCAGAGACAAGGGAAGGTGGTGGCAGGGTCCATGCACTCATCACTGGCCATGTGGCTGAAGCCCAAGTGCTGGGCCTGCAGAAAGTTTCTCAGGGCTGTCTCCATTCACTCCCAGACCAAGTAGCTGCACTGCACCCAGCTCTGCAGGATGAAGGTGCTCAAGTTACCAAAGATCTTACCAGAACTGTCCCCAACCAGGCAGCCAGATCCATTGTTTGACTCCTGCAACCAAAGCAATACTTCCTTGGCCAGACTGCAGGTATCCCTGGCCCTGCAGTGTGGCCCTCTGTTGCACTCCCACCTCCTCCCAACTTCAGGGAGCATGATGGAGCTCTGATAACAACTTGTGTTAGACAGACCCTTGATGCACAGCTTGCCCCACCCAGGTGCTGGAGTTTATTGGGTGACTGAATTGACCAGAGGGGCCTCGTCTTGAGAGTTGTTGACCCTGAGGCCTTTTTAGGGGAAGATGGGGAGAACCAGGCAGTGGTGGGGTCAGGGAGGTCAGTGATAATTGTCTGCTTTGCTTTGTGTCTGCAACCTGTCATCTCCCCAGGATGAATTGCTCCATGAAAGAGAGAAAGAATCTGTGTGGCCTCCACACCCGACCTCCAAGGCATCACACGGGGTCCGCTGAGGCCTGCCAGGTGCTGCTGCTCTTTGACCCTGTCCTTCTCTCTGACTGTCTGTTCCCCATGGTATGCAGGGCGCAGGCTGGGGAGGCAGGGGAGGACCCGCCTGTGAGGGTGGGAGAAGGGGGGCTGCACAGCTGCAAATTATTACTAAGCAGCTGCTTTCAGCGACTGGGCAAGGCTTTGCTGAAAGTGGCTGATTAATGCTAATTGAGGTGGCAGAGTGAAAGCTTGGCTTTGGCAGAGCCCCAGGCTGCTGCAGCTCCCCACTCCATATAGTCTGACCTCCTTGCCGGGGCTTCCACTCTCAATCACTGGGTAACCTGGGAATAAGTTGTCCCCACCTCTCCTCCCCCCCCCCCCCAAAAAAAAAAAAAAAA